TGTGGGTGGTGTGGGGAGAAGGCAGGGGCAGCCTGGGTGGCAAGGGACTTGTGGGAGCGAACACATTTCGTGCTGGCAGGAGCTGTGCTGGGGAGAAAGGAGGGAAGGGCTGGCAGGAGGGGAGGGGGTTTGGTGTGAGGAGGGAGCACAGGGCCCGCCGTGGGGTGGGGATGGGGCCAGGCAGAGTTGGAAGGCCAGGCAGGAGCTGAGGATGGAGCTGGGGACAGCACGCTGCCCCGGGGGAGAGGTCTGAAGGTGGGTTGCAGGACCATGGAGGGCTGCTTGGGATGGCTCTTGGTGTGAGTCACTGCCTGCCTGATCCCACAGCTGCTCCCTGCCCGGGGGGTGGGGGCTGGCCAAGGTCCCCCAAATCCTTACTGACACCATCATCCTCCTGACCCCCATCCCTCCCCGGCACTGCTGCCCCAGATGAAGATCTTTGTGGGTGAGGGACAGAACTGTTCAGAGGGACAGCATCTCTCTGTGCCTCTTGCTCAATTTAGGGATGGGGTCTGGGTGGTTGCTCTTTGGCCATCTTTCCACTGGGGCAGTGTAGCTTGGAAATACCAAAATGTTGTATTCCTGCCACCCGTCCAGAACTGTTTTGGGCCATTACCTATCACTTTGTCCTTGATGGAAAGGAAGAGGATGGGGGATGAAACATTTCACTTTGGCTTCAGCAGAACGTTTGGGCTCACACAGAACGGTGGAATTTAGGGATGTTTTCAGCAAATCCAGTTCTTCCACCTCAGCTTTTCTCATTTCAGTTGCTGAATCAGCTGCATGTTCCTGTCCTAGGCAGGACCAGCCCAGCCCTGGCCAGGCTTTGCTCCTCTTGGAGATGGCCTGGCTGTGTTGTACATGCAGTGCCTCAGGGACACCAAAACCATGTCCCAGCACTGCCAGAGGTGCCACCTTCTTCAAAGCCCAGGGTGCCCATCTGCAGGCACTGGGGGCATGCCCACACCCCTGATGGTGCTGGTCCTGGGGTCTGAACCCTTGTTCCTTCACTGCAAAGGGTCCCTCTGTCCTGTGAGGAGAGGGAGAGGAGCTGAGATTGGGGAGTTCTCCATTTCTCCTCTGGCCTGAGGACTGGGTTGTTCCACAAGCACATGGAAGGGAACTGTGCCTGTGTCTTAAATAGGCACTGAGCAGAGAAGAAACTTGTGCATGGACCCTGGTGGCAGGGGGAGGGCTGGAAATAGGATTTACATCTTCCAGCATGCTCAAACACATTCCTTCTGCCAGGCCAACACGTGCCAGAGGGAGTGCAGAGTGCAGTGGGGGCTTTCCCACACTGCTGCCCCGGGAGGGGGTGTGGAAGGGGCAGGTGGGTGTCCCACCAGCAAGGTTACAGGTGGTTCTGCCCTGTGCAGTTCAAGTGCTCCAGGGCATCGAGTTTCTCCAGCACCTCTCCTGTGCCTGGCTGTATTTATACCCCGTGCCCCTGCCTGCCCTCGGGCAGGGATCAGGGTTTGCAAGGCATGACAGGGTCGTTCCATTCCTGCTGGTTGTTGTGGTCTTCGGGGCCAGGCGAGCTGCCCAGGGGAGATTAGCTGCGACCATTTTCTGGGGGGGTACCTGGCATCTGGCTGAATTCAGCCTGGCAGGACGTGTTCCTCTTCCTTGAGCCCATCTCTGCTGTGCAGCTTCAGCTGCCAGAGCACAAAGCTGAGCCACAGGAGTGGGACAGGGTCTTCTCCAGGCAGCACTGGGGTGAGTGGGGGTCAGGCTGGCTTCAGGCAGAGGGGTTTATCCTGGAATTTGCTCCCATCTCAGAAAGGATGTTTGTTAGCACAAGGAAATCTGGGTGCTCTGTAAATGGCTGAGTGTTGCTTGCTTGACAGCTACCCCAGCAAGCTGATGGTCACTGGGACCTGCCTGGATTTGTGGTGTCAGCCTGCTGGTCCCTGTGGGTTTGCAGCCAGGAGGACTTCAAGGCAGGAGTCTGGGGATGCTGGAGGACCACAGAGCTACACTGAACTACTACTGCTGCCACTGAAGGGCTAATTCTTGCTGCAGTGCAGATGTTGGGACCCTTGGGTGCTGTGTGGCAGGAGACTGCTGGAGAGAAAGAAGTGAGATGGCAGCACAAGGAGGTGAGAAGGATGTTGAGGCTCCATCCCACTCCATTCCTACTTAATAACAGTGCCAGACTCACAGACCTGGAAGCAGCAAGTTGAGTCCAGCTCCAGTTAGCAGACAGGTCACCCTTCAGGGGGGCTGCTCCTGTCAGAGCAGGCAGGTGAGTCTCTGCCCCATGACCTGGAAGGCAGAGGGGAACAGCTTTTCCTCTAGGTGTTAAAGAACCATCAAGCTGGTGGATAGATGGGTTCAGGAAAGGTTAATTTTGCCTTTTGTGGCATGCCCACTGCAGTCCAAGGCAGGGAAGCTGAGCTAATTAGTTGATTAACGGAGGTGTAAGGAGGTGCCAGTGTGGCTGCAGGGCCTGTGCTGGAGCTGGGAGGGCTGGGCTGGGCTCTGCAGGGGGTGTGTGGCAGGGCTGTGGGTGCTCCCACAGGGTGAGTTCCTGGGAGCTGCTCTCCTTTGGGAGATGAGCCCAAGGTGAGATGGGTGCTGGGAAGTCCTGCCTTGTGCTGGAACCTCTGAACGTTGGGTGGGATTTACCAGTTGGGTTGTTAGAGGTGGGGATGAGAGATCTCCAAACAATTTATGGGGAGAAATGGTGCCTGTTGTGAGTGTGGGTGTTGGCTGCAGGACAGTGGAGAGGAGAAGGGGCTGAAGGGGAGTGTGCTGACTTGTGTCACTGTTGATTCATTGTCTCTAGGTGGGTCTGGCTCGGTGAGCACCTGGACCAACCTTTTCATTTCCTCCAGCTGCCTGGAGCTCCAGCAGCTCCCAGGAGCACGAGCAACACAAGGGGGTGGGGGGCAGCTGAGGTGCACTCGTCAGGAAACCACTGGCCAGGGGACTCTGAGATCAGAGTGGGGTCCCTGGGGTGAAAGCCTGGCCAGGGACGAGGTCCTAGAGCCAGAGTTTGAGCTGTCTGGGGGCTTCAGGAGCATGGTGGCTGAAGCTCCACCACGAAGGTTCCATGTCCTAGCAGAGCAGTGGCAGCAGCAGGGCCTGGGAGTGCCCAGGTGCTTGTCCTAGGGCCTGCAGGGGCAAACAGCAAGTACCACGTTTGTGCAGAGATGTCCTAGGGCCCAAGCACACACAGAGAAGCACAAACCCACCTTCTAGGCAGCAGGGTGAACACTCTGATTCCCCCCAGCCTGTGGCACTCGGGGGATCAGTCACACCAGTGCTGCCTGCACGGGGGCACTGAGGCTCGCAGGACATCTGGGGCTGTTAGCAGCTGGATGTTCTGCTGGAGGAGACCCTGCCTGAGCTCTCCCCCCTTAGGGACCTCGTGATGGAGACAGGGCCCACCTGAGCTCTGCTGCTCAACAGCTTCTCCCCCCCTGATGCTGAGTACGTGGGGAGCCAGGGCCAGCACACTGCAGGGTGATGCTTTGGTGAAGTGCCCACAGGATGCAGGAGGGTCCTGACCCTTCAGGATGTCTCACTGGAGGGTGATGAAGAGGAGACCACCAGTTCCCCCATTCCCTCATTACTCTCCTACTGCTGCCTTTCAGTTTGTGCCCCCTCCCCACATGTCCTGTGCCCAGGCTGTGCTGAGTGTCCAGGCCCTGTGCCTCCCCCTGACCCATCCCCTCCCTCCCTGGGCACCCAGGAGAGGGGCAGCTGCTGAGGAGGTGCAGAGGGTGAGGTCTGGCTGCTCTCTCTGCTGCTGTGCCCAGTGGGAGGCTGATTCCCCACAGCCACTGAGGGTTTCCCCACACACACCCCAGCAGCACAGACCAGGGCTGGACATGCTTCATTCCTCTCTCCACGCCTTGACTCTTCCTCCCAGACCCTTCGAGATCATCATCCTCCTGACCATCTTTGCCAACTGTGTTGCCCTGGCCATCTACCTGCCCATGCCTGAGGATGACACCAACGTTGCCAACTCCAGCCTGGTAAGACACGACCCCTCCTGCTGCCCTGGGCTTTGAGGGCTCTGTGGAGCTGGTTGCTCAGTGAGCCACGGGTGCAAGGAGGTCATACATGGAGTGGAGGCATCTGCAGGGTGTACTCAGGGGCTGTCTGTCCAGCCAGAGATGCTGCAAAGAGAAAAAGAGGCAGAGTGGTGGAGAAACTGCTGCAAAATTGCTTTCTGGAGGGTTTGAAACTCCTGTCCCTAGGTTGAGATCAAAGGGAGGGAGAAATGATGCCAAAAAAAAGAATAAATCCTCTCAGTTTTTCAGCAGGTTGATGTGTGGAGTGCACAGGAAGGGAGAAATGATGCCAAAAAAAGAATAAATCCTCTCAGTTTTTCTTTGCAGTGACACTTCCAAAAGGAAACACTTTGTTCCAGAAAGGCTCAAATGTTTTGTTTCAGCATTTTTGGATTAAAATCTTCTGACCTTTCATTTCAAAACTGTATTTTAATTTTGATGCTTTTTATTTAAGAGGTAAAAAAAAAACCCTACCTTGGTTAAGCAGAGAGATTGCTCCCTTTCAATCAGTTTATTCCTTTTTGGTTTATCCCCCCCCAGTCACTCCACGTTGCCTGGAATAAGATGTTTTGGTGTGACCCAGATCAATAGTTTGTGCTATTTTTAGTTTGCCACCTCATTCCCCTCTTCACATCCCCACTGCAGCTCAATCCACTGTAATTTCCATTGAGCCTGAGCCTGGTGACTGAATCAAGGCACCTAAATACCCCTTTTTCTAATGAAATGTGCTCTCCTGCTCATTCCAGGACTCCTCAGTGTTGGGGTGGGGTGTGTTGTGTGCAGGTATGGCTGGCTGAAAAAAGCACCTCTCTGGTTTTTTGCCTGTTCCCTAGAGACTCTGCAGGGGGAAATGCTGACACAAAACCCAAGAATCTGAGGTGCAAAATGCAAAGTACAGTTTTACTTGTGCAGTTTTTAATTCCTTCAACTGCTTTTGTGCCTTTCCCTCTCAACAGGGTTTTAGTGGCAGTGAGGACAGTGTTTAGTTCTCATTTCCTTGGGGAAAGGCAAAGGGGTCACTCTGGGTAACGTGTTATACCTTTTAAAATAAACCCACAAGGGGTCTCCAGAAGAGACATATTAAATATTTAATAGAAAAATATATATTTATGGAAATACATCTCTATAAATAGAAATATATTTCTATAAATAGAAATAAAAAGACATCTATATTTGCTGTCTATTAAGTTGCTGTGGCCTGTTGGGGGATTTTTCAGGCTCTGGCCTTACAGCCCTCCCCATCAGCAGCCTGGCAGCCCCAGGCTTCTGCTCTTTCATCCCTGCTCTGCCTGTCCCTTTGTCATCATGTTCTGGTGGCTTTGTAGGAGCAATCCCAGCTGAGAGCTGAGATTCCTGCCCACCACCCTGGGTGCCAGGCTGTGCTCTGCACGGGGCCTGCAGGTGAGTGCAGCAGAGGCTTGTTGGAGGCATTTCTTCCTGCAGCAGAGAGGCTGCAATGCATTTAATCTCTCCATGGTGCTTTTTGAAGTGCCTCCCTTCATTGCCCACTTCTCTCCAGAGAGGGCTGAGTTTATCTAAAGACCCTGAAATAGTTGAGGAGGCAAAATGTGTGAGGAGCAGCTAAGCCCAAGCAGGGAGGGTGTTGCCCCACGTTGTTTGGAGAAGCAGGATTGAGTTTCACTCTCCTCAGAGCTCAGTGCTGAGGGCTGTGCAGGAGCCTGTCCTGCCCCAGCTTCCTTCAGAGGAGCCTCCTGCTCTGAAGCTGAGTCTCCAGCAAGGAGAGTTTCTGGATGAGGGGATCTCCTCAGAGACCCCTGCTGCCACTTGCCTCCTGCAAGGCTGGAAACCCTGGAGAGGAGCCACACCTTTGACTCTGTCTTTCCAGGAGCACTCAGGGAAGGTCTGAACTTTACACTGGCTTTAGAAGTAGACTCATGAAAACTTTCTTAACCAGAGCTCATTCATGGGGGTGAGAAAAGAGTATTTGATAACCCAGAAGTCTTCTATGAGTCTGTTTCACTTTATCCTGGAAGAAAGACAGTTTAATTTCAATGTATTTCATTATTATTCTCTTTAGATTTCTTCTGGTCCAGAAGATTGTTTTTTGTAAGGCTGGTTTTGTCTAATTCCAGTGAAATCAAAATATTTCTGGAGAAGTAAAGGCAAATCTCTGGGGTTTGCAGTTGGTCTGTTCTGGTGTTTGACATTAAAATGCCTGGTTCTGCCTATTGCTGGGGAAAAATCAGCCAAGGGTAACTACTCAGAGGGAAGGGACCCTTGCAGAGCATCCAAAAGCAGCTGGGCTTTGGAAGTGTGACAGGTAGAATGTGGGGTCTGGTGAGTGGGGGACAGAGCTGTGCAGAGGAGCCTTAGGAACACAGGTAAGGGCTGTGAGCAGGCACTGCTAGTGTCACAGCTCTGTGCTGAGGTAGAACAGATGGTTAATATAAAGGAGCTTTCTTCCCCAAAATCCCACTGCTTGGGGTTGTGTTGGGTCAGGGAAGGGGACCTGTGTGTTTCAGAGCCTGACCACAGCCCCAGGCACCATTCAGTTACAGGAATATGGGCATCTGCTGCCATTTCAGCTGTCCTGGGTGCCTGTCTGCTGCTCTACAGGAGTGTGTCTTGCTTGTGGGTCCTGTGTGGCTTCTGCCACCCCAGGGTTGCCCCAGGTAGCCCAGGACATCTCCAGCACTGCTGGAAATAGTGACAGTGACTCGTGAGCAGAGACTGCTGGTCCAGGGCTGGCTTTGAAGACCAGCAGCCTGCTGCTGGGTGTCACTTGAGGCTGGCGTGGGTCACTCACTGCAGGAAGGGCCTGATTACATGGGGCTTTTCTAGAGCCTGAGGTCACCCTTGAGTCCTCCAAGAGCTATGAGAATAGCCCCCATGGCTGCACAGCTCCATGCACCTCCCACCACTCAGGGCACAGGACTGCAGCAACTGCTGTTGCTCTTCCACCCAGCATCTTGAGGGATCCAGCAGGGAGAAAAAATACAGCAGCTTCCAAAGCCTGACCCATCAAGCAGGATCAGAGAATCACTGTGGTTGGAAAGGACCTCTGGGATCATCAGTTCCAACCTTCATCCCACAATCTCCCTGACCACCAGACCAAA